ATTTAAGGTTTTCTTTTAGGTCAAGCTCTGCTTTATTCTGGATTTGCTGGTTATTTTTTAATTAAGCTTTTTGAATTTCAAACTACTTAAATGGCATTAAATGATCAATGAACAATCCTCAGTGATCACATGACCTATAATTGTGTCCACCTGGTTTGTAAGCTAAGATAAGTATTTTCTAAAATAGGATTCCCAAAGAAGCTGGGATTTAGAGCAGCTCTGTCCTCGTCCTCCTTCTCTCCTGTTTTCCCCCACACAGTCKATACAGAGCCACTGGGCTGTCTGCTCTGACAGGCGTCTGTCTCGTCCTGCTGCTGGTGAAAGCTGCTAATGGGACGGTTTAAAATGGGCTCCCCATTACTGCATCAGACCTGCAGACTTTCACTTCACCCCCACAGCTCATGTCATGTTTTGTAGAAAAGTAAAACTGTTATTGAAAGGACAAAAAACATTTGTAGGATCAGTTAAAGGTCTCTAATTGTTTAGAACTTTAATGTAGAACTCCACTTTAAAATGGTCATAATATCTCTTTAAATGAGATCTACTGGTTGAGTAAATATCTAATATTTTTTTAAGGTACTGATTTTAGTGCCTAGAGTTGTTATATAGGTTTTTTCTTACACGTACTGTAGGCCCAGTTTCTTTCTTTTTTCTTTTTTTTTTGTAATCAGAATATCAAGAAGAATGAAAAACTAAAAGTTAGAGTTGTGGCAGATTTGACACGCATGCTAAATGAAACGTGTCTTTTTGTTGTGACCTGAAAAGCTCCAGTTATTGATTGTCTGTAAATGTTTCGGTGTGCTGCAGTCCATTAAATGTGTTCTGTCGCTGCACTGGTTCTGAATCTTTGAATTAGAAGCTGAACTTTTTTTTGACTCATTGATCACTGTGGGGTTTTCAGTCCAGCTGCAGCTGCTGTGTAACATTTACAAACTAAGTAGTAAAACTACCAAAAGTGTTGAAAATCACCATGCGAGTGAATTAAAGGCAAGTTCAAAGTTTTAAACTGTACATTAGAGCCATGATGAAACAGGGGAGTGAGAACTGACCGGTAATCTGGGGTCAGATTTATAAAACTTGCGTACGCACAATATGACCCCAAACTTGTGTACGCCACTTTTCACGCCAAGGTTGTGATTTATAAAATCCAAACTTGGCGTGAAAATGTGCGGTGCCTCAGCCAGCTCTGACCCATGTGTACTAGGGGTCGACTGATACATCGGCCGGCCGATATTTTTGGTCGATATTTGCGTTTTTTCCTTGTATCGGTATCGGCCGATACACTGTCCGTTCGGCTGATCCATTCTTTGGGTCACGTGAGAGTATGTGTCCGCCCCTTCCCCCGGGGACAGCGCAGCAGCTAATGTTGTGAGACAGAGTGCTAACAACAACAAGGTTGAGTTATGAACTGTAAATGTGTTTTAACTGTCTAATTTAACTGTTTCTACCCTCTGAGTCAGAATATGAGGGAAGAAAGAACAGCTGTGTTTAAGTTTCTTCTCCAGACGGGAGCGCTGCGACATGTTTTACTTTCACTTTCGCACCACACTGTAATCAGCGTGTCCGCRTTGTTTTTCTTTTTAAAAATGCTGGAGCTGCTCACATGAGGCATAGAAAAACACCTCTATTGTTCTCCCTGCTGGATTAAAATAAAAAAGCTTTCGGTCTTTTCTTGCTGAACGTTTTAGCGAGCGCAGCCGTCCACCATCATGTGAACCAGACACTGCTCACATCACGTTTACTGTGACCGCAGTCATGATGCTGGTTCTCTTCGGTGTACATTTCAAACTATGATCTAAAGTTAACGTCAGCTGGTTTAAATGTAGTTTTTGCCTGGTGTTAAAAACGGGAGCAGCAGACTGAGGCAGAGATGCTGTGAGCGCTGTGTGTGTGAAGTCCTGACAAAGATAGCAAGATGGATGTGTGTCTCTTCATTTTCTCTGTGTTGCTCTGACAGTTTTATTTAGGCTTGTTGCTGTTTTTGCATCAAAAATGCTGGGATATTAAAAAATAGTGATTTTAGGTAAAAATATATTATTCTTATTAATATACAAATAAGAACAGAATATTTAGCACTAGATAAAATAAATAATGAATTTATTTATTTTTAATTTTTTTAAAGAAGAAATCCTGTGTGGCAGCACTTAATACAGCCTGCATCAGACAAGCCTTAGTTAACAAATGTTTTTTTTTAATTAAGACTTGTGTAACATTTGTAATTCTTATTTTTATCATGTTAATGGAGGAAGAAAAAGTAGTATCGGCTTCAAGAATCGGCCAAAACATATCGGCTGCATGTATCGGCGTATCGGTTAGACTGATGTTTAAAAAAATCGGTATCGTATCGGCCTTCACAAACCTGTATCGGTCGATCTCTAAAGTGTACTCTCATTTTGGAGACGGGAAGCTGCAACACAGATGGTGAACTGAAGAATTAGAGCCACACTGTGTAATGATCACTGTCAGATATTTAATTTACCTTCATCAGACTTAGATTTTTATTCAACTTTATCATCAGCTTTCTTAACAGTAATATTTATGCTTCTGCTGCTGAGCCATGAGGACCTTGAAATAAAAAAAACTTAAATCTTAAATAAAAATTCACACATCTCCATCCATCTCCTTCCTTCTCACGACCCTGACCCACAGACAAGAGACATTTCAGCACGACAGCAAAAGTCACGCTTTGGATACTCACGCAGGGCGCCCCTCACCAGTGTGGATGTTATAAAAGTTCACTTTTTAAAGTCGTATTTGTCACGTGCGCGAGGCTGTAGGGATGTGAGGAGACGATCAGCCACAGRTAACAGAGCAGGCATGAGGGGGAGGATGGGGGAGAAGAGTGGTGAACTTATTTCTAATTTTATCTGACTTATTTAATTGTATTTATTGTTATATTCGTCCTGCAGTCTCTGAGAGAAAATTTATTTGAAGCTGAGTTTTTGATAAAAATCATTAGATTACTCTAAACGTCTGTAAACCTGCAAAATGAGGGAAAATCTGCATCAATTACAGACATTCTGTTCATGTGAGCAGCTGTCAGCACCTGTCATCCTCCAGACTCATGACACAGCGTCTGAACCAATCACTTCTTTTGACATTGATCAGCTGACTGATTTAAATACATCTTAACATTCATGAGGTACTTTGCTTTGACTGTTTATGGTTGAATGTGGGCGTGTGCAGGGTAGAACCTGAGGCGGGACCTTGTCCACAAACTCTGAGGTGAAGCTGTGATTTATAAATGAAAGGTGCGCAGAAACGTGTACGCACGGTTTTATAAATCTGAATTTTTTTTTTTTGGCGTACGCCATTTTCACATTTTGGCCATACGTTCACATTTTGTATGGTTTCCATGCAATCCTTTATAAATCTGACCCCTGGTCTGTAGGTACATGGGACTGTTCTAAAACAGTAACTCTGCAAACAGAAAGCAGGAATCTGCTGAGAGCAGTTAATTTTTGGAAATGTTCACCCAGTTTGGTCAAATGGACCAGAGTGCTTGCCAAGGTTTTATCACAACAGTGTGGAGTCCAGAGCTGTTTGTTAGACTTGGATGCTTTTGAAACATAAYATGATGCTGTCTATTAAAAAAACACTAGGAGACTTTACACTGATAAAACATCTCTGCTAAAAAAACTTAGGAATATAGGTGTGAGGTATTTCTGCTGCCATGACAGTATTTTGACTTTGTAAACAAACCAGTTTTCCTTTCACACCGTCACTATGTTTTAGATAACTTGTGCTGACCTATAAAAACATTAATTATATACAGTAGATTAAATCCTCAATCTAATAGGTAGCATTACATTATGAATATAAGTTCTAAGATATTTAAGAGTCTTGTCCATGTAGGAGTGTCCGCAGTGGATAGGTGGAGTCTCTTGGTGTTTAGGTGGAGTTGTCCTAACCATGATTTGTGGAGTCCTTGGGTGTGGGCGGAGTTTGGCAAAACCGTGATTGGTGGGATTGAATTGTCTTGTGGGAAATTTAAAAGATGCAGTAATGGTATTAGAAACATTATTGTGAACATGTAAACATATTTTATTGACTTCAGATTGGATGTGATTATCACCTTCCTATCTGRATTTATGACTAATATTAATTTTCGTATTTAAAAATGTCCGTTTTCTATCCCCACACAGGTTAGGGCTGTTTTGTTCAAGCCAAATTGTTACACATCCCTCAACATGTACCACATTCAAGTTTTGCACAGCTAGAAGCTTCCTGTCTTGATGTTGTGACCAAAACTGATACTTGTATTTGAAAATATACGTGCTTTCTGGCCATTTTGACTGAGCTACACATCCCCACAGCTACTTGGTGTTCATCCAACCAAATTGTTGGGGCTTCTTCAAACCCCACCTGAAATAGTCCGTACAATGAATCTCGTCTTTGACAAACTCCTCCCACACAACAATAACCTCCCACTTAGTGACTGTAAAGACCCCCTTCTTGTTTTGTCTACATTTTGGTTTCCAAACTCCACAAACCTGACATGAAAGAATTATTGGGTTTAATATCATGTCTTGACTTTCATTATACTTTTATAAAACCTCTCTTATGGAAATCACCATCTGAAATGATCTCTCATTCCTAATCAACTCTAAGACATTATCATAAATGTATTTTAATATATATTGTAAATATTCATTATTTTTCCCACTGTTGCATAATATCGCTCTTTACCTGTTTACAGCCGTAAGAACTGAAGGAAGAGATGAGTGACAATGTTTCTGTTCATTTTTTATTTGTTTGTCTTATAGTAATGTTTTTTTATAAATCTCTGGACAGATAAACAAATATTCTTTGGATGTTCATCTGCAATTAGCTTATTATTCATTTGCCCACACAAAAATGGGTATAACTCAGTTTAACAAAATTTAGATGTAATTTGTTCTGGTAGCAGCTGAGTGCYAACACATCTCATCTAAAGTAAAATCCTGAAGAAAGTATGTTGTAAGGATTAACCTAACGTCTGGTCATTTTGTATGTTTCAGATTTGTCAAAGAACCGCCTGTGTGAGCTTCCAGAGGAGCTCTGTCAGTTCATCTCTTTGGAGACTCTCAGTTTGTACCACAATGGGATGCGTTCACTGTCCTCCAGCTTGGGCAACCTCCAGGCCCTCACCTACCTCAACCTCAGGTAATGCTACATCATTCGCAAAACAAATTATATAAGATCACCATTATTACTGGTGGTTAAATCATCTGACTCATTGTTCAGCTACATATACACTATTGGGCTAGTTGAACCCAGCCGGGCTTGAGGCTGTGACCCATAAACTCAGATTTATAGTTTTTGTGATGTTGACTGACACTCACTAATTAAAATAACTATTATTTTTACATAAGTAAACACTGATTTCCATATTTACGTGACTAAAACACTAAGAATTCACCAAAAATTCCTTATTATTCACAGGCTGCTGACCAACAATTAGCATAGATGCTAACTTAACACTGAAAATGCAATTGATAAGCTAACAGGATTTGTGTATTTTAGCACTTGAAATTTATACACAGATCAGTTTTGTCTAAGTCATTAAAATAGGTCATGTTATGATAAAATCTACAAATACTTACATACACACAGACAGATATTCTTCAGAGGGAAAGATAACAAAGATGTAAAAACACGTTTTTGACAGAATCATCCATGACTGCGATGTCTTCCTAAAATAATCGCCTAAGTCTTTTTTAAGTTTGTCAGGAATCACAATAAATATCCTGTTGGCGGATCTGTTTTTTGTGTTTCTTGAAAAACTTGGAAAAAAAAGACAATTAATTTGGAAAGATGTTGATGTGTGATGCATCTAAAAATAGATTAATCTCAACCCTTCTCTTGACCAGACACTTTAAAGCAAAAAAGTCTACTCACTTGCTTTTTACTCAAGTTCATTCACAAAGTTAATGAAGAAAAGCTAATGATGAAAAATGGTTTGAATTAAAATTTAAATAAACAAATGGATTTAAATATGTAACACAATAAACCCATCACAAAGCCGAATGGTAGATCGATAATTAAATAATATTTGAATAATTGACCAAGTAAATTTGTGTCTGACCAAGTAAAACAGAAATTGTCTGACATTAATCTACGTTCCCTTATGCTACGTTCACACTGAACGTATTTTGAGCTGCAGGAGCGGCCGGTTTTCATGCAAAGTCTATGGTGGACATGCCTCTAAGGGTCTCGCGGCGCGACAAGTCCRTTTTGCGCGGCGCGCAAGGTAGCGGTAGAGCATTTCCTGTGCAGGCGGTGCAGCAAAAGCAGCCGACATTCGAGTTAAAAAATCTGAACTTTTGTTTCTCGACGTGCCGCAGCAACCAAGCAGAGAGACTCCTTTTTCCACGTGACAGTTTCCTGAATGTTGCCCACTAAACCAAAACAGACAGGAGCTCTTTAGCTGAAATGGACTGTCTGCAGTTAGTGTTYTGGCAGGAGATATCAGCACCGATGTGGGTCAGCAGCTTGTTAAGCTGACTGCTGTGTTAAACTAGGCTCGAGACAAAAATAGTTTGTCAGTTCGCAGCTCCTGGAGTGGTGAAACTAACCAAACAAACCACCTCTAAATGATCTGGTGAATTAATTATCTGCTGTGCGCAACGTCCACTTGCTCTTTAGTAAATAAATCAAAGCCATTTTCTTTATTTTATCTTTATTTCTTCTGCCGAAGACAGACCGGAAAAAAACCAAGACGCTCCTCCSTCTTCAGATGCACATCTAGTCTGAGGCTACGTTCACACTGCAGGTCTTAACGCTCAGTTCAGATTTTTTGAAAAAATACGATCTTTTTGTGTGAACTTTCACATTACATTTTAAATGTGACCTCCATCAGACTCCAGTGTGAACGCTCCACAGCAGTGATGTCACACACATGCACAGTAAAGACG